AAAAAAAAAAAAAAAAAAAAAAAAAAAAAAAAAAAAAAAAAAAAAAAAAAAAAAAAAAAAAAAAAAAAAAACCTGGCGGCGGAACTGTAGAGCCTTCAGGGCGGCCACCTCGCCGTGGGTACCGGGCGGCCCGCTGCGGACTGAAGCCAAACAAGCGATTAGCCTGGGTGCCAGACTGTTGTCAGGGCGTAGTATACGTACAGACTATTAGTAACTCCTCAGCTCCAGGCTAGCCGTGGTGCTAGACTATTTTCAGGGCCAGTTTACAGGCTAGATCCAGGGTTAGCCTGGGTGCCAGACTGTTGTCAGGGCGTAGTATACGTACAGACTATTAGTAACTCCTCAGCTCCAGGCTAGCCGTGGTGCTAGACTGTTTTCAGGGCCAGTTTACAGCCTAGATCCAGGGCTAGCCTGGGTGGCAGGCTGTTTCCTGGCCCAATATACAGGCTATCTCCTAGGATTAGCCCGAGGGCCAGGCTGTTGCCTGGGCCAGTATACAGGCTAGCTCCTCGGCTCCAGGGCTAGCCTGAGTGCCAGACTGTTACCTGGGCCAGCATAGAGCATAACACCTCCGCTCCAGGGCGAGCCTGGGTCAGTATACGCCCCATGTTTACTCAACCAAAGAGGTTTAAACCTCCTTGACTCAACCTTGCATCAGAAAAACTATAATATATTATTAAGTAAGTTCGACTTCTCGATACTGGCCCTGGCAACAGTCTGACATTCAGGCTAGCCTTGAAGCCGAAGAGCTAGCCTGTATACTGCCCTTGACAACAGTATGGCATTCAGGCTAGTCCTGGAGCTCAGAAGCTTCCCTGGGTGTCAGACTGTTGCCAGGGCCAGTATCGAGAAGTCAAACTTACTTAATAATATATCATAGTCTTTCTGATGCAAGGTTGAGTCAAAAAGTCAAGGAGATTTTAACCTCTTTGGTTGAGTAAACATCATTAGATAAGCCAGGCAAATTATGTCCCGAGTACGTGTCGAGGACACTTCAACCAATGGCCGCCATTAAATGACTCAGCGTTTCTTAAGTCCTTTTTTTATTTCTTACAACCAAAATCCGTTCAAGAATTAAGAAAAGTACTTAAATGACAACCCCACACATACTTGATGGTGAAGAAAAGCAGTTTGCTTTAATCTGCAAGCAGACTATGTTGTGTATACGTTTCTCTCAAGAATGAAAAAAATGCTGTTCTCACCCAGGTTCCGACTGTTGCCATTCCTAAGGAAGCTGTCTGCAGTCAACATCTCAGACGAGAGAAGCAGAACGACAAGAAGCAAAACCAGCGTCGTTTTCATCGTGCTATGACTGAAAATCAGACGATATTTACGTTTACATTTATTAGAGACGCTCTGTAAGTACGTACTATTCGTACGCTGTTTCACTAGTAACAGGGAAGAAGTACGCACATACCGTAGTGGACAAATATGCACAAAAGAGCTGAAACGGACAATTTCACTTCACTAAAGACGGCCTAATACTTAGCATCGTACAAATGGGCATGTACTTACTTTTCTGGGGGAGGGAAAATCAAATAAAAAGTAGAAGAAAGTCGTGTTTAAACCCAAATCTGTGGAGTATTTGTTACTGTGACAACCTGTAGGCAGGACTCAATCTGTGGTTATATAAGATAAAAATGCGGATGGACCTGTTTTCTGAGTTATGGGGGCACACACCAGTTTATTTTGGGTCTCAATTCGATTCTACATACCCTCAACTCTAGCGACCGTCTCTCTCAGGAAATACCTCTTAAGCCAAAACACTGTGTTTGCAAATGAAGGATATCGCTCTAGCTACGAGAACAATAGAATTTCAATTTCTTTTACTTCTCACATTTTAGTAAATTTTAGGGGAAAAAAATAATTTTTCGATGAAAATTGATGCCAAAATTGGCCATTTTCAGGTGGAATTAGACCCATCACCCAGAAATTAGCCACTAATATGACTTATATGGTCGGAAAGAGAAACCCTTATGTATTATTAAGAAAAGTATAAATAAAATCCTAACACTGAGATTATCACAATTGCCCGTTGCTCGAGGCATAGCGACAGCACCCCCAGAACGCATACAACGCATATCTAGGTCAAACCGAAGCACCGCCCTGAAGGCGGAAGGACACCCTGAAGTAAGCCTCGGGCCCGAAATCAATTTATGTAGACACGGTTTTCAAAATGTTTGGCTAAACCCAACAGTTGACGCCAAGCATTTTGGAAACGTGTTCAAACAACGTCTGAAAGACACGTTTGTTTCTGGCTGGAGGCAAGAAATAAGAAATTACAATAAACTGCAAACCTATTCTAAATTCAAAACGGACTTCACTTTTGAGAAGTACCTTTCATCAATCCAAAATAAATCATTTGTTGCTAACATAACCAAATTGCGAATCAGTGCACATTGTTTAGAAATAGAAAAAGGTCGTTATAAGAATGTACCAGCCACTCAGAGACGCTGTCCTACATGTAAACATACTGTTGAAGATGAATGTCACTTTTTATTATCTTGTCCCATGTATACTGAAGAAAGGTTGACACTTATGAATATGATTTCTTGTAACTCAAACATTACCTTACCTAAGACAAGCTCAGATACTTTTAATTTACTGATGTCATGTCCTGAACCAATATCCTTGTATATAGGCCAATTCATATCCTCTACTCTTCAGAAAAGAAACAATATCATCTGTGACACCTTGAACTGATGTTAACATTGTATCCATGTTCCATATATATTGTATAATTCATTACTCACAATTATAGGGTAGCGTTAGAATAAGGTATCTAGAAGTAGATTTTAGTATTGTTGTTATATTTTGATTTAAACACTTGCCATACATTGTATCCATTGCAATTGTTGCGCAATAAAGATTGATTGATTGATTGATTTTCACCCAAAACACGCCACTTCTTACACTTTCCAGCCATGTTATTAGTTAATACCATTTTGCAGCAGATTATGAGAAATGTAAACTCAAACATGAACCATCGGAACCCCTTCGTCGCTTTTTTTCCGGCCGGTTGTATAACGCCCAGCGCCCCCCCCCACATGTATTAGGCATTTTAGCTGTAGTTAAGTACCAGTAGTTGCCATACTTTATACACTTGTTGTGCAATTAAGTTTTGTTAACCAACTGATCTCTAAAAATCACTCAGTGACTGAGAAGGGCCGAGGACACCCATCATATCTTGCTGCCGTAAATGTCATTCCAAAGCTTGCATAGTTACTGGGCGACTAAGAGATACTTGTCAAGAACAACAAATATATACCTCACTGCTTCAATACCTTTATTGTTATTGGTAACTGATAAAATTAACGTATCAAAATGATACATTAGTGGACTTTGAATTTCACAAATGTCAATTTTAACCATGTCTCTGCTGTGACCATGTATTTCCACTACTATGGATGTAAGCTTCAATAGGGTTAAACATGCAAAATCGAAAAAAAAATGTTTGTAAAGGTAATACAATAACATTGCTGGTATACCAATGACTGGTGTGTAGTGTCACATGGGCTGGAAATGCAGGTACTGTAATTCACTTTTTTCTTCACAATAGCAAAATTTCATGAACACGGACATGTTTACATAAGGCCACAGCAAGTAAATTTTATGGATGACATCCTCCGCAGACTCCAAATCTAATGCGAGCGGGCGAAAAAAAACAAGGCGGGCCAAAAAAACAAGGTTCCTACATTCTCAAATTTTGACTCAATAATTGTACAAATGGTTTTGATTCAGTGAGAACATCACATATACATATGATATGTGATACAGCCAGTATCACATATCACTGCATCAAAGTAAAAAAACAAAACATTTAATCAAAGTCTTTTCTTGTCTCCTGTCTTCATAGTTATCAGCCATTCACGTTCTGGCATGGCAACAGACATATTTGCCCATTTTCGGCATGTTGACCACTGTCAGAGGGCAACAAAATGTCTTGTTTTTTTCCCAAATCAAGCGAAAATTAATGCGCGCGCTGATGTCATCCATTAAAATTACTTGCTATGGCCTAACTTAAAATTCAAAGTGGCAGTAAATGAAGGGATGTCTTATCAGTATTGTATCAGATTGAAGATGAGTAAGTAATATTTGCCACACAGAAGATCACACTACTGGTTGAGAAATGTTCTGTTGCCATCGGCTGTTGCATTTGAGAACTTACATGGGTGTTACGTCAGCCTTTTCTCTACCAGAGATCACAGTCTTTGTTCTAAACTGTCTTCGTACATTTTGCCTTCCTAAATGTTGCCTATGACTTCTGCATGACAGGGATATGTTTATTGTACAAAAACAGAGCTGATAACAAGGACTGCTTGTGATACCATTATACATCAATGTACAAAATACTTTTTTGAACCAGACTGCCCAGTAGGCAACCTATGGCAAAAATTAGGTTGCCCATCAGAATTTTAGGTTGCCCCACCTATAACTAGTATAGGTTACTGCTTTCCACAAATTAAGTAATGTTGCATATGCCTTTAACAATATTTCTAACAGCCTTTAGTTAACTGATACTAGTAATAGCCATTAATACCTAAAATTAAAAAGCATCTGCCGGATACAGTGGTGCAAGCCAAGTGGGCATGATTTGGGGGGGGGGGCATTCTTAAAATTCAGGTAGCACACTGGGCTACCTAGGTTCAAAAATAGGTTGCCCCAAGTAAAATTTGGGGGAACCAGGTATTTGCACGCTGTACATAAACACCCCATCCCTTGAAACACAAATCAAGTCGCTTCCTAGTTGGTCCATACCACATCATCTAGACCAACAAACTCACCAATCCTATATGGGAATGTGTTGGCTTGTTTTCAGATTGAAGCTGTTTGGAAATACTGTTGTTGCTGTACTTGTTTAACGTCTAATATCTCACTAGATGTGGTCTCTTGGTGCTGGTTTGCGCATGGTTCAGTTCAGAGTCTCTAGGTTTTTAACTCTTGGGGCCTAAATGATAGGTATGTGTGACAGACCATGACAGTAGAAGAACAAAAGTGAATGTCAATGAACAGATCATTTCACTTTCAAACAGGCATAATTTTCAATCTGAAACAACCTTTAAAACAAAGCTGACGCCCTCCTATGTGGAACTGGTAGCTATGTTTTGTGGTGGTTTGGGTAAACTAGGAAGCGATTTGTCTGATTTGAATGTTTGAATCTGAATTTGGCAGTAGTTGATTGGACAGGGTGACAGAGAAGATAGCTGTTCTCAGTTGTTGATTGGATAAAGGAAAAGACAGTTGTTCTCAGTTGGTGAGGGAAATGAGAGCCTTGACGATGTCACCCTGGTGTTCTCTCAACGTTCGCTCCGCAACCAGCTTCGTCACCTCCAGCTCCGTCATCTGTCAATCAAATCAAAATAAACAATAAACATCAAGTCCTGAAAGGCTTGAAAGTTTATCTCTGTTTGGTAGTACTTGGTGTAGTACAGAGTTAAAATTAGGTTGTGGCTATCCTCAAATTACACCCCATTCAATGTTATTTTCTAGGTACACAATGTACTAATTTTCACCTGAGTACACACATATACACACTTTTTTCTTCTCTCTCTCTCTCTCTCTCACACACACACACTAATAGTATATACTGTACACATACGCATACACATACATGCACGCAGTACACACACACACACTCACACACACACACACACACACATCTCAAAGCTACAGCTGACTGCATGTCTTTTTAAAGATCTCCATGTAACAATGTATACTCACAATCAATTCAACATCCTCCTTCCGGATCACAACTTTGGCTAGTTCTCTTTCTCTGTGGAGAGAGAAGAAAATTTATCAAATACATGTAAAATCCAAATAAGGGCATATCTACAGACTCAATCAATGCCTAAATATGGGCATATACTGCAGGTTACTTAGTATCTTTTTTTATCGCACACAATACTATGCATTTGTACATCATCATGAAATGTTCACAGTGGTTTCATTTTTGTTTTTTCATAATGATTTCTCCAACACCAGGAATATGTTTTTTTATGTACTATAGAATTGCTTCAAGTGCAAACTTAGACACAGTAAAACCATATGAATCTATTATCGTCATCTATTATAATACATAGATTGTGCTCACCTGCTTGCTTTTTTGCTTCTTTCTTCTGACGTTTTCTGATTCACTAAACTCATAGCCTGTAAAACAAGAGCAACCCAAAAACACGTGTCATTCTATCTAATCATTTGGAATTTATCCATACCAATATGGCGTTGTTTGCTCTTAGATTATGGAAAATATTGTTGTTGGACTTGTTTAATGTCTAATATCTCAGTAATCGTAGTATGTTGGGTTTCGCTCGGTTCAGTTGAGAGTCAATTTAACGCTGTAAGAATAATTTTACTCTTGGTGACTTGCGTGATCACGAAACATAAAGGGGGAGGGGGGCGAACACATGCGCTCACATTTTGGATGCTTTCTGTGGAAATCTCCTTCTCCTCTGCGTAGTCGGTAACCTTCTCTAGATCCGCGGCGGCTTCCGAGTCCTGCTTCTTCTTCTTCTCCTTCTTATCGGGCTGAACATTTTCCTCCTCGCCGTCCAATTCATGATCGTGCTCGTTTTGTGTAGGCTTCGACGTCGCCATCTTGGGTTGACAATGTGCTTTGCGGCTCTGTCAGAGGTTTTCAGTATCGTGATGCGTTAGTTATATTCGCAAAATTCAACAAAAGAAAAATCACCTAGGATATTTATCAATCATAACAAATATTGTATCTATGTTTGAACCAGGAATTTATACTTTTAAGGGTAACTAACAAGCTTCCTTTGCAAAATGCGTGCTCCTATAACCTTCAACATAGCCTTACTTGTTGCAGTGGAATTTGACCTTTGGTCGATACCACTTGATTTGAAAGGGAGAAATTATTTCTTTCGTTGGTAAAAATTTTCAAGAAAAGAAACAATAAATATAATTTTGTTTTAGTTTTGTAAATTCTATATGATTTTTTTATACTTAAACTTTTTATTCTTAAACGTTATGATATTTCTTCACAGAAGGTTGTATTTTGAACGAGAACGTTAGAATATGGACTACTCTGGTGACCTAACATTCTGGCGGGAAACTGAAAAGAACCAAGCGTGGAGACAGTCTGGTTGTCAACACCATTATTTCTGTCAACAAACGTCCAAGTTTGGTATTTTGCCACTTCATACAAAGTTGAAGTAAAGGTAAGTCTATATTTAGCTGACTAGGACGCTCGAAACGTGAAGTAAACAACGCTGTAAAAGTAAACAAGTCTGCAATCTCAGCGAGGGAGGGGGGGGGGGCTTTAAATTACAGCAAAACAGCTAGCTAATGTGCCAGTGTTAGGTATCCTATCCTGAAATTTTGTCCTCCAGTTTTTTCCCTTAACGGTTTGGGTTAACTTTTGTATACTATAATGTTGTCAAAACGGTATATAGAATAAAACCATTTACACACGCATGTACGAGTATATGATACACATAATTATTCTCATATTTAGAAATAACTAATAGTTTAGCAGTCTTGCTGCCTTTTGTTTAAAATTTAAAGTTCCGTTTAATTAAGTGAGTAGCCTACACAGTAAATTGTCATATGGCAAGGACTACTAAATAGTGTTAGTAATAGTTGAACACATATAATATAACATGGCATTTGTGAACTGGATCATAATCTTTAACAAGCTTCCGATACATCTTTAACATACGGTAATTTTTATTTACATTGCATATTATTAACACATATTAAGCATTACCACTTCAATCAACTATTTTGATCCAACACACACTGCCACGAAATAAGTCTCCTGCAACTTGCAATACCTGCAGAAATTACTAGGAGGCGCTTTAACCATGTCGACGACTGAAGTGCAGCAAATGATCCAGTACTCCGAGAAGTACAAGGATGAGAAGTTTGAGTATCGTCACGTGATTCTTCCCTCAGAACTTATCCATCAGGTAAGACCACACCTCATACATAGGGGATGGCTACTTTATTGTCCAAAACCATTTCAGGGCAGTAAAACTAGTCAATTTTCTGGCCATTTTTAACATGTAGAAAGTTGAATTGATCCTATTCCATTATATTACTTACTATTATTATTATTAAAGATCTACTGATGAGGCATAAATGCAACTTGTTGCTGATGGAAAATAGTGGCTTATTTTATGCTTGTTTCAGCTATTTATTAATGTATTGTATGCTTGTTTCAGCTATTTATTAATAAATGATACCAAAAAATAAAGGGACTCCGCTCATAGCTGTTTTTTTGCGCAGTTTCAAGTACTTCAAGTATAAAATGTTGACAGAAATGTGCAAAAATCTGAAATCACCCTGATGCCTTTAACTTCAAGTTCACTTTCACTCTCATCTCTCAGTCTTAGCTTGACTACCTCAAGAACACTTTCACCTTCTTATCTCTCTGCCATAGGTCCCTAAGAACCACTTGATGACAGAGACAGAGTGGAGAAACCTGGGTGTGCAGCAGTCTCCATACTGGATCCACTACATGATCCACTGTCCCGAACCACATATACTCCTCTTCAGACGGCCACGCCAGGCGTCCGATTGACCCGTTTAGTTCAAGTGAGTTAGTGAAACAGCACGAGACCACATCCATTTCCATTTGTTTGTCCTTTCGTTCGTTCGTTTGTTAAAAAGGCAGGGCTTGATATACTGGGTGCATGTGCATCTTAGTGCACCCAAAATCGGAGCTGTGCACCTAGTTTTTTTTCGTAGGTTTAACCTATGCAAAGATGCTAAATGTATAGTAGCTACAGCATATTCTTAACATCTAAGTGTCAGAAAAAAATAATGCAATCATTGTTGTAGTACTTTTCTTAAAATGAAACATAATTATGACTTTTGCTGACATTCTACTTATTTTATCTTATAATTATATATGGTGCACCTAAAATAATTTTTGTGCAACCAATTTTTTAGGTTGGGTGCATCTATTCCCAAAAATGAATTTCGAGCCCTGAAAAAGGAAACTTTTAACACACAGACCCAATCCACATATTATCTACGCCAGGCATCCAATTTACACGTTTAGTTCAAGTGAGTTAGTGAAACAGCATGAGACCACATCCATGTCTGTTTGTTTGTCCATGTGTTCATTTGTTCAAAAAGCAAACTTTTAAAACACAGGCCCAACCAACATGTTCTCCAGTGAGTTAGTGAAAGAACTAAGAGACCACATGCATGCCTGTTTGTCCGTTCGTTTGTTCAAAAAGGAAACACAGGCCACTCAACCCACATAATGACACGTTCAGTTCAAGTAAGTTAGTGAAATAGCACATGACCACATCCATGCCTGTTTGGCTGTCTGTCCGTCTGTCTGAATGACATGTTTTGTTTGTTACAATACAAACATACATGGACAGGGAAAGACACAAATGTGCCTGCCCTGAATTTTGTACCAGTAAGTTTGTTGGAGCAGTGGTGTTTCACATACATAATGATTACAGATGTAAAAGCACCACTCAAAATACAACAGTATTACAGGAGTTTAATGTGCGAGTTAGCATTAGACAATTTGTTTGTCTTTCTGTTAATTAAGAAATACCTCAATGTAGACACAGGCTCCCTAGTATATAATAATGTACACTAGAGATGGGTACTGGCTAAGCTGGACTGGGTCAGACTCAAATTAACATCCAAGAACTGAGACAGAAGAGTCTAAAAGTCGATTGTGAACTGATTCTTTTCTCTTTTTTTGACTCATAACAAAATACAAATGTTGTGTTATGCAGAGGAGCAGTTATACCGGCTATACAGATACAAATATAGACATTTATATTTGGACATCTTATTAGTCAATCTGACCATAAGAGGTAAAAGATATCCTTGAATCAAACTAGATAAGCCTGAATTGACATATGCTTGAGGCCACAGGCCACAACTACATCTGTTTGTTTGTTTGTTTGTTTGTTTGTTTGTTAAGAAATTGTAGTCAAATGAAGAGATGTCCTTTCTCCCCAGTGTTCTTTAATGCAATGATACATATGATGAATATTACAATTTAACGAATAACAATGCATTATGCATATGATACAATATTAGGATATACATTTTGCACACATAACATCAACTTGACAAACATTGATTATGCATTTTCTTGATAAAACTAGTCTACCAAGCCATACAATGTGACAGAGAGCTAAGAGTTTAGAATATTATAATTTGATACCACTGTGAGTTTACTACCATGTGTCGACACAAGAGTTATGGTGTTTGTTTGTTTTTCTCCAGATTCCAGCGTTAAATGTCATGTGTTCTATTTGTTATTACTTACATGTATCATAGTTTTTATTAGGATTTCTCAGAGTGGAACTCACTGCAGTCACCAAGTACAGTGGGGGCATTATCATTAGATACAGTAGCTTCAAACAATGTTTAGAGTTAGATGGTCAATCAAAGGTTAGGTGTAACAAGTTGTTTGGTGTAATATAGCCAGCTGCCGCCGCGCCGTGTGCCTTTGAATCTGCTGTGTTACGCCGAAGGACCATTATACCAGCTATACAGATACATATTTATGTTTCTTTAATGATTCAATATGATTTTTATCTACATGTACCTCTACTTTATGGCCACACATCAAGTAGCTGTTTAAGACTAACCAACATGCTGGCACCATGGCATGAAGGGGGCCTGGCATATCCCCGTTGCCATGGTAACATAAGACATATTTGCTCAGCCTCCCAGTGAGGTTTCACCTCAGGCACATCCGGGTCTTAAACCGGAACCAGGCCTCAAAATTACTTTTTCTTCCTATTGTCCCAGCACTGTCCCAAAAATAAATCTCACTTGTCCCAAAGTGAGGATGAACTGTCCCAATCTGTTTTTCGGGAAGTATTGTATGACTTCAACTTGAAGTCTTTATTTTGCTTTTGTTCACTCCTAGGCGCACTATATTAATTGCAGTAGAGTAGACAGGAAATTCGGGAGGATTTTTTCAAATCCAAAAGCCGGGACGTGTGCCTGATAAACAAAAGAAGGGCTGACTTTCTGATGTTGATTACTTTTCTATTGTCCCAAAAATGTCCCAAAGTGTCTTTTTAGTTGTCCCAGCCGAAATTTTAGTGGTCAGTGGCCATGCATTGGACCACCTTTAATTTCGAGCCCTGCGGAACGACTTTTCCTTCTTCGGTTACCGTCTGACCGAAACATCCTTTTCCTAAACTCACTTTCCAGACGGACCGGATCACTCAGACAAGTTGTTTACACAGTGTACCTTAGTCGGTTTATAAACAGCTGTGTTTGTGTCTGTACATGCGTATCACAGATGTTTACAAGGATCTGGCTGTGCTAATTTTACACCTGTTTCTGCATATTTAGAACCCTTAACACTGGCCTGGGTACTATCCTTTTTAGTTTACGTTTGCCCTGGACCGAACAAGTTTATCAAGTTAAATAAAGGCTTACTACTGCAACTACTACTACTACTACTACTACTACCACTACTACTACTACTATTACTACTACTACTTCTACTGCTACTACTACTACCACTACTACTACTACTACTACTACTACTACTACTACTACTACTACTATTACTACTATTACTACTACTACTATACTACTACTACTACTATTACTACAATGTACTCTGATACATGTGTAGTTGGTGGGTAGCGACTATCGATGCTGGCATAAACTAACTTAAGCTTAAGCTCTATTCAAGTTGCAACAGCAATACACGGTGGAGCACCAGGCAGCAAATTCAGCTGATGGTGGGCTCCACAAGTTACAAAATGTGTAATACAGCAGTAAATACAGTAAACTAGTCAGGATGGTACCCAGGCTAGTGTTATCTGGTGAAGTTGTAAATATACCTTAGGTCACAGCAAGTAATTTTTATGGATGACATTCGCGGGCGCATTAATTTTCGCCTGATTTTTGAAAAAAAAACAACAACAAATTTTGTTGCCTTCTGACAGTGGTCACCATGCCGAAAATAGGTCAAGATGTCTGTTGCCATGCCGGAAGGTGGGTGGCAGATAACTATAAAGAGAGGAGACAAGAAAAGGCTCTGATTTTATGTTTTGTTTCTTACTTTGATGCAGTGATATGTGATGTTGGCTGTGTATTTGTGATGTTCCCATTGAATCAAAACCATTTGTACAATGATTGAGTCAAAATTTCAAAATGTAACAACCTTGTTTTTTTCGGCCCGCCTTGTTTTTTTCCGCCCGCTCGCATTAGATTTGGAATCTGTGGAGGATATCATCCATAAAATTTACTTGCTGTGGCCTTAGTTGCAGTTTAAGGGGGCATTCTTAAAACTCTAGGTCTTTCAGTGTATTTTGATTTAGTAAAAGATATCGGTGGTAAAGACAAGGCAACTTTCATGTGTGTTAAACACCTTTTCAATACTAGCGTGTTGTAGTGCAATGCAGCACTGCCATGCATTTTCGGTGTCAGCCAAGCACACTGGGTCATTTCCACTTATCAATAAGTGTGTTGGGTTATTGTAAGTGTGCTAACTGAGACACCTGTGACCTAATACTAGTAGTACATGGGGCCACTGACTGTAAGTCCCCATTATATGCCTTATACTGACAATATTCTAACTTTTATAACTCCCTGTTCTCCCAAAACTACAACAACCATAGACAAAGTTTATCTTGACTTTGTGTAACTTTTCGGTCAGAATACTGATATCAAAGGGTTACTACCGGTTAAGAGTAATTTATGTTACAACTTTGCAAGTTTGATGTCTATAATTCCCTTGCAATTTTATTACTGCTAAAATCTCATGCACTCTTACCGAATGTTAGGTGTAAAATTAAGTTACATTTGTAAGTAGTATAAATCCAAGTACTTTTGTTTTAGAACATCATCCTGACAACCCCTTAGGTTTTTTGAAATGGATTAGCCCTCGTGGCTTCTCGTTCCCAAGGTAGCCCTTTGAAACGTGGCACTCCGGTCTCAGACGGCTGACAAAGCCAAACTTACAGATTTAAGTACAGTTAAACCTCCCCGGCGTGTGAATAGTCTGTATACACAGTAAGTAAGTAGACCCGACCTCTTGTTTGCCCAAAAGCCGGAACTACCATTCCCAGGGTTTCAGATTCAGTGTTGTTTATAAGGGAAGAGAACTTGTACAGTCAACAGTGCTTTAAAAAGTTCTATAGTTTTAATCTAGCCTCTATCAGGCTTTTGAAGTTGCTTTAAAATGTAGAAATCGGCCAAATAGACAGATAACATTCCCGGGGAGTTGGTCCGCTATAGGAGTACACAATAATCTGAACCTCCTGAAAACTACGCCTTCAACGGACCAACTCCACTGTTATCTGTCTATTTGGCCAGTTTCTACTCTTTCCAGCCGCTTCAGAAGCCTGGTAGAGGCTAGATTTATTCAACCAATAGACAAAAGTGTTAACACCAGTTTCTGTTAATTATTGTTTATTATATATTCATAATTTATCAAGGAGTCATTTTCGTGCAATGGATACCCCCTACATGATGTTCAGTGTGCGGTCCCGGATGTGGAGTACTAGTGTTGTACTTCAGTGTGAATGAGGTCCAATAGAAAAGCCCCACGTCTATTAAACCGTGTGTAGACTACGCGATTTAAGGGATGTAAGCTCACAAATTTAAAGACCAAACGCGCCAACAAGACCGCCGGCCTCAACACTAGACTTTTCTAACCCTGCAAGCGCACACTTGCGTTTCAAAAACTTCTTCGCACCTAAAATCAGGTTTCCAGAAGTCAAAAATCATGCTGCCGCTCTACAAGGAGAAACAGATATCTCCCTCCGTTGTTTGTACTCTTTTGCAAAACTCGAGGAAGGCGAAGACTATAGTTCTGGTGTTCGTGTTACTGTGGCTGCTGCTCGGTGTGTGGCTGTTGTACACGTCCTACTTGTCCAAGGGAAGTTTCAGACTGGAGGACCTGCACCCGTTTAAGCGCAGTGGAGAGGGTTCGGACCAAGAACAACATGAAGAGTCGGAGATACACCCTATTCTAGCGCGAGCCTTGCACATGAAAGATGACGGACATGGGCTTGAAGTTGGAGCGAACGTCGCGCACAGGTACACCGAAGGGCAAGGCGGTTCGACCCCCTGGTCTCTCTCCCCTCGTACGGAACTGTGCAAAGGTCAGGACTTCGCCCTCCTCGCGTTGGTAGAAACTTCTCCGCACCGTTTCCAACAGCGCGCGGTCATCCGGCGTACGTGGGGACAGAGCAACGCGGGGAAAACCGAAGAAGAGAACGTAAAATGGCAGGTTGTGTTCGTCATGGGTTCGGCGCCAGACACCATGACGGAGGAAAGACTTGTGGACGAATCTTTGCAGTACAACGACATTCTTCAAGGAAAGTTTGAAGATCACAGAGAAGAAGACAACCTGAAGGTAACTCTGGGTTTTAAGTGGGTGAACAGTACGTATTCTAACGGCAGTTGTGTGCCTAGCTTTGTTCTCAAAACGGATGACAACGTTCTTGTCAACATGAAAGTCTTGGCACCCTGGGCACGAGACGCTCACGAAATCTCGCAGCATCTCTTCATGGGTCACGTGCTTCGCGGCGGACGACCGAGCAGGGACCAATCAGAGCCCAGATACATCTCAGAAGCGAGGTATCCAAGGGACGACTTTCCGAACTTCGCACAAGGCCCAGCATACATGTTCTCATTGGACGTCGTCATCAGAATGGTGAAGGCATTTCGAGCCTTCGAACACATGACGCCATTTCCGTTCGAGGACGTGTACCTGGGACTTTTGGCGGAGTATCTCCGGGTGGTTCCGATCCACGACGACCGCTTCGTGGTCATGAAGAAGCCGAAGAACACGTGCCTGTACCGGCGGATGACGTTCATCTATGACGTCAGTCCACAGGAAATGCTCAGTCTCTACAACATCATTGAGTCCGATGACGTCGACTGCAGAGAAATTTGAAACTAACCGAGCAACCGTTCTACATGACTGTCAATCATAATTAGTATTTAACCAATGATAGCATTGCAATTAGAGGTTCAACCAATGAAGCCCAAGAACACGTGCCTGTACCGGCGGATGACGTTCATCTATGACGTCAGCCCACAGGAAATGCTCAGTCTCTACCACGTCATTGAGTCCAATGACGTCGACTGCAGAGAAATTTGAAACTAACCGAGCAACCGTTTTACGGACCGATCATGACTGTCAATCATAATTAGTAGTTAACCAATGATAGCATTACAGTTAGCGGTTCAACCAATGATAGCATTAGAATTGGCGGTTCAACCAATGATTGCATTGCATAAACGGTACCAATGATAGCAATGCAATTGTACGGTTTTACCACTGATAGCATTGCAGTTAGAAGTTCAACCAATGATATTGTAGTTAGCTGTTAAACCAATGATAGCATTGCAATTATCAGTTCAACATTACCAATGATAACATTGCAATTAGCAGTTTAACCAATGATAGTATTCTGGTTAGGAGTTCAACCAATGATAGCACTGCAATGGTAGTTCAACCAATGATAGCATTGCAATTAGCAGTTCAACCAATGATAGCACGACAATTAACGGTACAACCAATGATAGCATTGGCATTAAGAGTTCAACCAATAATAGCTCGACAATTAACGGTACAACCAATGGTAGCATTGCAGTTAGCAGTTCAACCAATGATAGCACGACAGTTAACGGTGTAACCAATTATAGCATTGGCATTAAGAGTTCAACCAATGATAGCTCGACAATTAACGGTACAACCGATGATAGCATTGCAGTTAGCAGTTCAACCAATAACATTGCAGTTTGCAGTTGATAAGATTATTGAAGCAGAAGAAAGATAAAACTACTTCTAAGAACATGTTACACCATGAATAGAATAGAGATAAACGGCATATCCATGGGATACATGCATAGTTGAAATGCTATTCCCCTCAAAATTAAGTTAGAAATTACCTGTATTGTCTTCTAAAATAATACCAATATCTGTTGTAACAAAAATACATTTTTTGACAGGAAGACTTTTTGCCACTTTTTGAAAGTGCCATATTCCAACCATCTAAGTTCGATTTCTTCCAAGAGTTTTGAGGAATAAAAAAAAAAGAGAAAAACTTATGACCGATTTTTTGGGATAAGATATTCAGTGCATGAAGGCTGGGGAGGTTCTCGGTATAATTGTTTAACGGAATTCAATTTCAATTTGTGGCCGAAGCCGACGGGAAAATACTTCGACCTTGGTGTGGGCAAATCCTACAAAAACCCAATTAAAGAGCATCGTCCAACAAAATACCGCCGAAAGGTTGTGACTACTTAGTCGAAATCCCTCCCACCACAGCTTTTGGTGTATAGGGCGGTGCCCATCTCCGTTTCTTTAGTCATTGGGCTACACAATTGTGTAAGAAGTAGCTTTAGGTGCATGCTATTCCGATGAAGAAACAATAAAACCTATAAAAGCCGTCAATAGTTTGTGCTTATAAACCTGCATTTCTCCTCTGGTCTCTCAGTCACTGAAGAAAGCTAGTGGATACTAGCTGAAACGTCTGACTGTTTCCAAAATCATATCCAGTTGCTTGAGTAACTGCTTTTTTGGCGTATCGTATTACCTGGATGTGTAAGTCTAACCTTCATCGAGGTATAAAAGCCGTTACTTTTCCATCTGTCAGAATTTGGAAAGTTGTGACTATACACTGAGTAATCGATGCACACAGACTCAGAAAGCACAAATAGATAAATTAGATAAGATGTTGGTATACAAATAGTTGGTAAATCCTCGTTTTATACATAGCCTTCGTTAATGCCTAAGCTGGTCTTACGGTGAGGCCATAACCATTGTCCGAAGGAGTGTCCATTAGCCACCCGGGCAAATGGACACTCCTTAATTTTAGGCCAAATGGTTGCTTAAAAATTAATTCTATTCAACAAGGTTAACATCTTACAAGTCAAGGAGTTAAATGTAGGTTGGTTTACATCTTGGCCATAGATATCATTGGAGTAAGGCGCCGGGAGGCCAGTTACTAGGAAACGGGATCGACAGGTAACGGGTTCGATTCGTGGCATTTCGGACTTTCCTCGCTCCACTTAGGTGTAAAATGGGTACCTGACTTCATATGGGGAGGTTTAAAGTAGTAGAAGGAGAGGGATGGGCTCCGCCTTACACTACGGTACCCAATAGACAATGGATACCAACCCACTGCCCCCACGGCCTCAAAAAGGCTTTGAGACCTTTACCTTTTCTATCCTATGAATGCCATCACGAGACATGAACAACATGACTGCTGGAGATAACCTAAATGGCTAGTCTGTCTGTCTAGGACCAGGGCTTAAGAGTTTGTGTGGAAAAAGTTTCTAGTTTATGACTTTTCAAGCTCAGAATACAGTGTTGTTTTTACTTTCGGGATAGAAATATTGTTTTGGGAGGCGCTCATTTACGCTAGGTTTGTATGTTTGGTTCCAAACTGAGTCGGCGGTTTTTTTTCAGGGGACCAACTCCCCTGGCATGTTATCAGTTTCCTTGGCCAATTTGTACTCCTATCAGCCATTTCTGAAGCCTGCTAAAGGCTAGATGAGTTAGCCAGCCATACGGTTGGATATATGCTATCCAGGATAGTCTGTTCTAGACTAATTGTAGGACTTCTGTTTTAGGTCGTAGTAAGTCTATCGTTTTTTTTCTGGATATCTAGGAGCCATTGTGTTCAGAGTTTCTGCATGCGGTCCCTCCTCATGAATAAACGGCTAAGGCGACACCACAATAGCACCACCTCCGGGCAATTGGCAAGATTGCCGGCATATGGCTTTCTGTCGGCCGTTCACATACACCATACATAAAGCACGCAATTCTATTCTATCAACTAACAATACATTTCTCCTGCCTATTTCCGCACCAGGATCACCATTCCAAACATTTTCTCACCTCCACTTCCTGGACTTTCCGAGCACAGTCCATATGTCATGACCACGAGGATCAAGCGAGCTCCCCATTTAGTGTACGCCTGGGTTTTTAAGAGTCGACCCCGTAGACTATATTAACGAAGAACACATGTAGCTGCTACAATTAGCGAGCTTTACCAGGCTCACCCCAGCTTTGTTTTACTTCACCGGGAAATCTGATGAGCACATTTTAGTTATTCCAACCGCCGCCTTATGTGGGGTGCCCTCTTTACCGTAAGACTGGAGTTCTGGCGTCGGCGTTTTCGGCAAGGCTCCCGCCGCCGCCCGGTGGTCATTACGACCGGCCTAATGGCGTGTTATGGCAGTTTTACGACTCTGGAATCCCTCTTCCCGCCACACGGAATCCCAGAAAAGCTGGGCGGGCGCTAGCGGGCATTTAGCGAGCACCGCAAGTAACTGTGCAAATAGCCGGGCGAAGATTAGGGAGGTGTCTGGGAGGATGAGTCCGATACAGCTGATGTGGCCGCGGGTTTACGGGGCGCTGAAGGGCCAGAAGAGCACCGGCTCTGGGGACCAGGTAGGGAGGGGGCGAGGTGCAGCAAAGTTCAGTAACAACTAGGACAAGTAGACAGAACATAGAAAGAGTAGAAATTTGTCAAATAGACAACATACCAGGCGAGTTGGTCCACTAGGAAGTACTGCTGAAGGGCTAGAAGAGTACCGGCTCTGGGGACCAGGTGGGAGGGGTGGAGCAAAGTTTCAATTCAATTCAGTCTTTATTCAAACAGCACGCACACAATATTCTCAGTCTGAATTATGTTGTTCTGACAATTCAATGGTCTGTAGACCCATTGTACAATTAAAATTACAAGTAATCTAAATGATCTATAATGGGCATACGAAAAAATACACATATTAAACAATTACACCACATCATATACTAAACAAAACATAAAGAAGAGGCATCTGTGCCGATGGGTCACGCTTTGTACTGATCAGTCACACTTTGAATGAAGTTCTTTATGTACTTCATTCTTTTCTCTTTGTTTTTAGTACGTTGTTTTTGTTGATGTCACCTTTATTTGTGTGAGGACAGAACCTTGATAAGTAAGTTATTACCTTTGCCCAAGTGTCATTATTTATTTTATTTTATTTATTCATATGTGTTCTTTGAGGACTGGGTAAAAGTAATAACTTATCTAGGACCCCTCCACACACATACAAATAAAAGTAACATCAACAAAAAAGCAAACAAGGTAGTAACAACAATGAGGAGAAGTTTAAGAAAGAAGTACATAATGAGCAAAGTTCATTAGACAACGGTAGTAACTCAACCACATCAGAGTATCACCAGTCCAGGACATGTAGAACGAAAACTGTGCTGCTCAGTGTATTTTGACAAATATCTAGCCTGTCAGTTTAAGTGTAAAAAACTGTATACGTACGACCCTCTAGAGTACATTCACGAAACCCCTAACCACTTCCCGGACGTCTGTGAACCTTCAGGTCATCAAGACCAAAAATACTTCCCGAAAGTCTGAAATCTCCGTAGACTATATTAAGGCCACAGCAAGTAATTTTTATGGATGACATCAGCGCGTGCATTAATTTTCACCTGATTTTGAAAAAAAAATATTTTGTTGCCTTCTTACAGTGGTCACCATGCCGAAAATGGGCAAAGATGTCTGTTGCCATGCCGGTAGGTGGATGGCAGATAACTATAAAGAGAGGAGACAAGAAAAGGCTCTTATTTAATAATTTGTTTCTAACTTTGATGCAGTGATATGTGATGCTGGCTGTGTATATATGATGTTCCCACTGAATCAAAATTATTTGTACAATGATTGAGCCAAAATTTTGAAATGTAAGAACCTTGTTTTTTTCGGCCCGCCTTCTGTATCTGTATCTGTATCTGTATAGCCGGTATAACCGCCTTTCGGCGTAACACACCAGCTTCGCAGGCACGCGGCGCGGCGGCAGCTGGCTATATTACACCGATCGACTTGTTACACCTAACCCTTGAACTTCTAGCTCTAGACATTGTTTAAAGCTATCTATTGACAATGCCCCTACTGTACTTGGTGACAGTGAGTTCCACTCTGCGATAGTTCTAGGAAAGAATGAATTCTTGAACACCTCAATCCTTGGTTGATAACTCTGGTACTTGAATGCGTGGCTATTTCTTGTTCTCTTCTGGGCTGGTATTAGGTACTTAGTAGTTGGGACATCCACCAGTTTATTAGTCATTTTGTACATCATGTACACCTTTGTACACCTTGTTTCTTTTTCGCCCGCTCTCTTTAGATTTGGAGTCTGCGGAGGATGTCATCCATAAAATTTACTTGCTGTGGCCTAAGTCCAAAGCCAAAATGAGAGTAACATAGCGACAACAACAACATCACCGTCGCATGGTGCCTTTCCGTTCTTCCCGGTAAATGCGGGGCAAACACATTTCCAAAGGGACAAAATTGGTCCCAGATTAACCCCAATCTCTTATAATGGTACTGGTCCTCCTGGGCGGTTTAGCTGTACTACATTAGGCTGGGTTTCGTAATGTCTCCTTTAAGTACTTTTCTCTGCACTTCTTCCAGACTTCTAGATGGGCGTAGGTAGAAATAGCCCACATTTAGGGTTTGTCCTTCAAAATTTAAAGTTTGCGTCAACTAACGGCTGGACTAGGTTAGGGTTAGGGTTAGGGTTAGCGCTAGGACTAGACAACACATATGAGAAAAAGTGAGCAAATGTAATATTTGGCTGGACAACCCTATAAGATACTAACTATAACATATATATCATACACGTAAGATGTATGATGAACTAAAAGTTATTCTGTTATGTGAGGACACTTGTTTGACATGTCGATGAAGGTTAGACATCCAGGTAATACGATACGCCAAAAAGCAGTTACTCAAGCAACTGGATATGATTTTTTAATGACTTTTTTTACCGTTTCCAAAATCATATCCAGTTGCTTGAGTAACTGCTTTTTGGCGCAATGTTTGACAGTTTGAAGGATATATGCTTCCTTGATGGTTGAATAGATTTGCTGCTTTATGCTTGTTTTGGTTTATGTATATGGACAATTTTAGTTCTTTTATAATGGTAAGGAAATTAATGATTTTGTATGGAGATGTTTTACGTTTCAATGGCAAAGACATTCTCTTTTATGTTCTTCCAAAATGGAGTTCTCGAGGAATTGTCTCCATTTTGACTCACATTCACGTAGTAATAATAGTTTTCTTTCTACGTGCATTCGGGAGCTTAGAAAATACAAGTACGCCGGGGGAATTCGGCATATATGCTATCTACTATTATATTATACTAGTATACGTATCTGTCTATGTATCTATCTATCTACCTACATATCTTAAGTTTCTGTTAGGAGTTCCAAACGTCCGTAAAGTTTATTATTTATGAATTCAAGAGAGGTTCTATACTCTAGAGGTATACTTGAGATAGACTGTTAGACTGTTGACATACTAGAATCACTAATAATGAGTTTGAAGACGATTTCTTCTTATAATGTTCTAATATCATAACTTCTAACTTACGATGGCATTTGCAATGAAGGAAGTCATTCATAAGACAAGGCAGTCCACGTGTGGCTTTTGAAAAATGTATTTATTGCAGATATTCCTAAAAATGTACAGCCTATCATTTGATGATAGCCTACATAGGGCGCACTTGCACTAGGGATATGCGGCTTAAAGCTCTACACTAAAACTCCTGTCCCTTTTCTTTGCGTTCTCCTGCGATCTTCAGACTGGCGGCGCCAGGTCTGAATGCCGCCAAAAGGACAAGGGAGCAAAAACTACTAAGTCTAACCTACCTCTATGTATAGAAGAAGCATTGCACAAGCGTCTAAATGCGACTGTACTCTAGGGGCCATGCGAGCAAGCTAGCGAGGTGCCTCTACCGGTCACTCTAGCCGTAATGCTACATTCATGTTGGCAAGAAGGCGATCCCGACCTGCCCCGCGGCTTTACCCCATTCTCATATACTGCACAGAATTATGGGTAACCGCAGTGAGTAGGTACGGGGTGGAATCTATAAAGTACAAAGTTGGTTTTTCTCTCGTAAGGATTGTTTTTGCCAGTGCATGCGTACCTAAGAGTAACTTTGGGTTATTGCTTGCCCTCCGACCCCTGACCTTTGACCCTTCCAACGTTCATTCTACAATGTATTGCACACTTTTTACATTACCTTCCACCCTCCCCTATCTATATACAATTTACATTTTTTGTTTGCAAACTTATCATTGTAAGGCATACTGTAAGTGCTAACCTTTGTTGTCTTGTTTCCATCTGTGAAGCATAATTGATGTGCATATTCTATCCAACTACGTTTGCCACCTTGGAGCCTTAGTCTTACATATTTTGTATCATACTGTATACGTTCTTCTTGTATTCTTCAGTGTACCAATAGTCATCCGTATCTTATAGTTTCAACTTATCTATCGTTCACATCATTGTCCCAACAATCTGGAGTCTTTGTACATCATCTTTCCCCTAACCTCACTCTTCCTTCATGGTCAATATATTATTGATTCGACACTAACTATAGTTTACCCTAGTTTTTCTTATCTCAATAATTTTGTATACATTACTTACAGGTTTTAACAAAACATCTTTTTTTCTTCGCTCTGAACACAAAATTCACGAGTGTCACTGGAATTATTACATCCAAAAACAAGACCTTTGGCCATCTTTGGGGAAATATATTACAATCTAGTACTTGAAGAAATGTGAACAATACTTACAATCTGTTAACAATAGACACGACAACAATATCATTTGACCCTGTTGATAAGAATTGCACTAATTGCTAAGTTAATTATACCATATAAGGAATCAATAACGTAATAATCCAGACAGTGCAGAAGCGGGCGACCAATCAAAACCAATGCTACAAGATCTTTGGACGGAACCAACTCACTAGTAGGCGAGGGGTGTGAGAACAACAACCCAAAGAAATCACACAGCATAGTTTTTACAGACGTTGGAATGGAAGATCAGAAATTGGTTGAAAATTTTTCTACCCCTGCCTCTGAAACAAGTGAATTCGTCCGGACAGACTGTTTTACACAGCACAGAAGACTGAAATTTCGACTTAGGTTTCCACAGAGCAGTTCCATGTGTTGCATGGTTTTTATATTCTTGTTGTGATATGATTGAGGTATATTGTCAGACGGAAGAGTGGTGTGTAGGTGTGTCTTTGTGCAGTGTGTTATTGTCAGTTTTTTTCTCATCATTTGGCATTATCTTTGGTTGACATTCACTTGCATCCCTTAATTAAAATCTTTGGTATGTATTGTACAGCACCGCTGTACGCCATTTTGTTTTTCAAGATGGCCGATCGAATCGGTGCCGTAATGTATAAACTCAAGGCTGTTGACAAGACGAATCACGGCAAACCACACCAGTGTGGCCGTCAAAACAACGTTTAAAAAAAAAAAACAACGGTCACAATAACACAAGTCATGGAAAAAGGTCCCCGTCAGTCTGCATTGTGGACTCCGATTGGCGGACGCGTTCTCGCGAGATCTCGTATCGTTCTCACGAGATCTCGTGCGGTTCTCGTGAGATCTCGCAACGACCTGTCCGAGAATTGGTGTGTTGCCAATCCCAATACAATACAATGTATTACAGAGCCGCCCGCCATGTCTATCTTAACTAAATCTTAGTAGCTGTCTGGATCTGCAACAAAACATAGACGTGTTCTTCTTTTTCCACATTTGGCAATTTCAAGGTCAATGAAGTGACCTGCCAACACCAGAAACAATTTGACTCCGGACAAAACAGCTGGACGGACAAAACTTACTAACGGAAAGGTAGGTGTCATCCGAAAGCGCTAACATGATGCAAACTCTTTGGATTCGACTAAAAGCGAAGTTCGTCATTACACAAAAATGTTAACTTTACAAGATATGATTTATAAGTTTTTACACTCAACAGTTAAGTATAGCCCGACTCCTGCATATTTCCATCTGGAATGTACATGAAATCATCATTTTATAACACCTTAGTATTTCACACCACTTTAAAGTATAGCCAGCATATCAACATCAACACATCGAAAAAATACATATTATTGATCTAAAAATTTTCTTGCAAAATATGCCAAGCCATGATTGGTAAGACGCAAGGAAACTATCTGTGCACATTTTACGAGACTACGTAACGATTCCACAACGATTACTAAGCAATCTTTGGTATAGTTTGGTTGTACAAAGTAGAGAGATTGCTGAGGTAGTAGTTCTAATTATGTTGGAGATCTGTGGCGCTAACCTAGGCTGCCCAAACTGTCTAAGGGAACGTCCGAACTCCAAAGCTTGGTCGGCTGGGTTAGCGCAAAGTAGGGCGTATCTTTGAAAGTGTTTCTTGCATGGGATTTGGATTTATGAAGGATGAGTTGTTGTTGACTGTCGTGGTTCAAGCCTGTTGATTGTCATGTGGCAAATGGAAAACGGATTGCGGAACAGAAGTTGTGTTTCTAAGAATAGCAAAACACCCCTGCACCTATATGGTGCGCCCCATGTTACTTTTGGTAGAATCTACGGATGGGACGAACCAATATTAATGCAGGGGTGTCAGATAATATGGTGTATCGGGTCTGTTCCCTTCGGGTGTAAGTTGAGTGGTATCGTCGTGGAAATCTCGCGATATCTTGCGTGACTTGAGCTTTCTGGGCCTGCTCTCGTCCCCACTATTTCTCGCGAGAGCTTCTCTTACCAAATCTGTACATGCCTGGGAATGACGTTTTGTGTACTAGCTTTTTTCTCATCCTGTCTTCAGTGGTTCAAAAACCTCTACTTTTCCAACTCAGAGCCCTCCTCAGCACTAGGATATTTGGCTTAAGTTTAAAGCTTAATTCTAGATCGACATAATTATCAAGGCAAAACTCCCGTCATGCCTCAGGGTATAGGCACATGTTAGAATGTACCCTAGCAATTACACAGTTCACGAGGGAACGTTAAGGTTTCCCTGGCTTCTCCCGTCAAACTTGCTCTTGTGGTGAAGTCGTTATGCAAAATGTCGGCAAACGTAGAATGAGCATGATGAGTTTTCAGCCAATGGCGTAAGCGATACTAAATCCGTTCAAGCAGCATGAAACATGGAAGACAACTTATCTGTACACCCATTGGCTATTTCAAATTCTAAATCACTTCTTGATTGGATGAGAAAATAAGGAGGAAAGAAGGTGATGGGAATGCCTTGCCCTTTTGCCTCGTTTTTTTTTCGCGTTTGACCGTAGCTACTTCTGAACACCATAAGCAGAGGATGGCCAGTGATTGGTAAGTGGCTCATTTGCATACATTTGCATAACGTCTTCACCCACAATACCTTGCGCAGAAGATCACATGATTATGCATGTCAAAAAGGAAGGTGTGTGGCTTTGAGGGTCACACTTTGTTGGAAATGACGTCTGTAAGCCTGGTCTCCCCTTATCAAGTAGTAGCTTGTTCCACATCGTTCGGCTCAACTACCAAACTGGATTGATCCATTCCGAAAGAACAGGGGTGAGCAGGCTTGCAGATGGCTCTATTTCGTACAGCTAGTCGGTGTGGAGCCGTTGCTTGAGGAGCCCGCGCTCTTCCCTTCGTCCTCCTGCCACTTGTCCTGCGAGCGCCGCCTAGCGTTCATGAAGAAGTTGCAGACGGTACTCAGATCGAGGCCCAGCTGCTTGGCGATCTGCGCCTGCATCTCCTTAGAAGGCCTCTTGTTCTCCTTGAAGATGGCGTGCAGCGTCCGCCGCTGCAGGTCAGTGAACACTAGCCGGGGCTTCTTCGGACCTTTCTGCTCGGGCGGCTTCGCAGCTTCTTGTTCTTTCCGCTTACACGCTGTTTAAGAAAAAAACAAAAAAAAAGAACACCATGTTAGTCGAAAGATAAATCCCAGACTGCAACAATGGACAATGAAACTCTCATTTAGCAAACGGGTTTGAATCTTCTTGTTCTTTCCGCTTACACGCTGTTTTAAAGACACAAGAAAAGAACTCGAAGTTAGCCAAAGGATAAAGCACAGACTGCAAAATCTATCCAGTTGCTTGAGTAACAGACTGCAAGGTTTAAAAAATGAACAAATAAACGCTCATTTAGCAAACTGTTTCGCAGATTCTCTCCGCCTACACGCTGTTCAAAACACAACAAAAGAACTCCAAGTTAGCCAAAGGATAAATCACCAGTTTGAGAGGTTTTAAAAAATGAACAATGAAACGCTTTGTTAGGATCTGAGTCAGACCTTTGCCAGGTGCAGCTTTTCAGGTGTACAGTAATGATGGACTGTCGCACAAATTGATGCAGACATGTCCCTAACCAAACGGTGAATTGTTTATGCCCGATGGTTTAGCGGACACGAGTGAAACCTGTACTTGAAGAGCGCGTGGCATCGGCGGAAACAAAAAGACAGCCGTCAACACGTAAAAATGATGGATTTTTGACGTGATGTGAGGGAAGTAGCCTCTTGGTTTAGAAGGATCTGCCCCGCATGGGTCTTTCTGAAACTGTAATAGAGACGGGAGGAGCGATTATTTTCTTCTTTTCTCTGGCGTCGACAGCTTTCGCTGCATCTAGAACCACAAAATAGAGAAAACATTATTTCTGAAGGCATTTACTAGTCTAGTAATGGTTGATTATAAAAAGGTTTGCCTCTCTAAAGTACAGGTGTCACCATGACTGATTTAACCTCTGAAAAGTCGTCCTTTAAACTTCTGACCCTGCGGTGTGGAACGCGGGACCTAATTCCCGAGCACCCATAAAGAAACAGTTACTGAGACGTGTAGATCGAATTAGGTCTTACTCAGAAGAAAAGACAAGATACATCCATCATCTCTCCTCCCATGCCCCCGTCTTTGCATATCCTGTCATTCCCTGCATAAATTACCATACTGGGGGCGACCCGAGGAAATGGCGTGATATGCAAATGAGCGGACCGCGGCCGACGCGCACGCGCAGTTCATACCTGAGTTGGCTGCTGCGGGTCGGCCGTGGTCCTGATAAGCTTTCCTCTGACACGCTGCAAAACGAGGAAAGAGAGATAGACAAAATGTTGATTTATGGCCTAACACTGTGCGGAGTTGGGGTGAGAAACCCGCTCGCCTCCCCCCCATTAATCAAACAACGTATCTTTACAATCCAGACAGTGGAATAACCTTGGTTAGTGGCAGATAAAGCGGCCACATGCATCACCCTAAATGAGATTACTACGCTCGGGTGCTAAACCCAGCCAGACGGGGGCCTCGGTTGTCCGGTACGGTCACGGGGCAGTATAACAATGGTACAGCCGGGATGTGGCTGGAATAGGACGGAGCTAATTAGCAAGGGAAGCGTCACACCGACTCATCATTACATCGTAACAACTGCCTTAAGCAACGGCAGGTCAACAAAAATAACCATGTAATGGCCTCGAAAAGCTGCCACAACTCTGTTTACGGCTAGGAGCTGTCAGTTTTGATGGAATAGTCGGTCTATTTTGTACGTCAGTGGCTGAGTTTATCCTAGATACTTACATGTGCTTTGTAAAGCCTGTTCCTTTTAAAGCTAGTTTGAGGGCACGCGGCTTCTGTGCTACAAGTAACTTTTACACTTTAGTAGCAATATAGGATAGATTCTACAACTATATCGTGCTCATTTTGGTAGGATATTAACAACTTTCGTCTGTTTTATAACTACTTTGTTGAGTTAAGCCTACACTTAAGCTTTGTCCCTTTTATAGCTTCTAGTAGTTGAGGGCACATACACACATTTGGCATTAGGTTTTAAAGGCACCCTATGCAATTTCAGAATGAGAAAACTGGAATATTCTGAATAAGGCAATCTTTGTGAAATTAACACAAACTGCCCCACATTAGCACATTTGCATCAGTATTCCATACTTCGGGTATTTAAAACCCAAACAGAAACAAGCCCAAAGATGAATCCTTTATTTTCTGGGTGGTACCCAAAAATTAGACCAGGCTCCTACCAGTAACCGTTTTCCGTCACAATTTTCCGCATTTTTTGTCCGCCAACATCGATATACATTATATTATCGATAGTGTTGCTTCAACTTAGTATGTAGATGAGAGTGACTAGAGTAAAACTTGAAAAACTTGTTTTCAAGCCCTAAAAACTGCGACTACATTTACACGTTAGAAGCGACGGAGCATAGAGACACAAATCACATCTCACATCATCTGCGTCCAGCGCCCTGCACGAGGGACTCAGGAGTAAATACAGCCCGAGATCCGGGCAGCAGAATTCGCACCTGGGCCCTGCCTCGCCAAGTCGTGACCCGGATATAAATATTTCATGCCCGACTTTTATGTTGGGGAGAATCTTTTTTGTTACATCGCAGACGATAACGTGTCCAGAGTGATTAACCATGTAGCTGATATGCAAGGAAGTTGTTACTCAAGCAACTGGATAGGTTTGGAAAACTGTCAGAGGTTTCAAGTAGCTTCTACTACATGGCGAACTTTTGTGTTGGGGAGAATCTTTTTTGTTACACCGCAGACGATAACGTGTCCAGAGTGATTAACCATGTAGCTGATATGCAAGGAAGTTGTTACTCAAGCAACTGGATAGGCTTTGAAAACTCATAGGTTTCAAGTAGTAGCATCCACTACATTTTGTCAGTCACTGACGAAAACTGGCATACGTTTAAAGTAGCATCCACTACTTTTCGTCAGCGACAGACAAAAAAGTAGTGGATGCTACTTGAAACGTCTAATTATATATCTATAATATAAGTCTGACAGTTTTCAAAATCTATCAGTTTCTTGAGTAACAACTGAGAAAGAGTATGCCAGTTTAACCCTACCTAGACCGGGGGGGGGGCTAAAAGTGCCCGCGGCAACTTTGATGTCACCTAGCGTCTGAACGGCTAGCCGTAGAACGGCCAAACTTGGTGACTTTTCCTAGAATATTGTTGGCAACAATTCTATATCATTGGAATAAGATAATAATTTTTTGTGTTGCCATGGCAACGGGTTTCTGACGTCTTTTTTGCAAAATTTAGTACTTTTTGTTTCAACAATAGAATTTTATGGGTTTTATGTCAAGTTACTCATGGTTTCTAATATCAATAACATTCCATATAATTTTATGTAAATTTTATCATTAAATATGCATAATTTATGCTAATTTGATGACGTCATTGGCCAAAATCCAAGATGGCGGACCATATCATTAGAACAGGTATATACAGGTTATTTTCATTAAAATTTCATCAATACTTCCATTTCTTTTTCCGAAAAAGGTTTAAATGAAGGTCTTTAGTATGTTTACGATGTATTTTAGGCTTTATCATGAAAAAAAACTATTTTTGAAAATTCAAGATTGATGATCCAAGATGGCGGATATCTTAAATATGCATGACGTCATTTTATGACGTCACTGGTGTTGCTATGAGCAACATAAGACTTAGTACACCATAATATTCTGTCATAAACACTTTTGGTACAGTTATGTTGAATACCATTTAGTTTTCAGGGAAAAACCTATTTAGACGGTTTTGGCCAATAAAATCACATTAATGACGTCATAATGACGTCATATAACATCATAACGACATAAAAATTGTAGATATGATAAATTTTCACTAGTACACTATTCTCTGAAAAATTTGGTGGTCATACGACATACCGTTCGCGAGTTCTTAGGGGGGGGGTCAAAAGAGCCCCCCCCCCCCCCGGTCCCCCATGTCAAAAAAAGCCCGGTCTAGGTAGGGTTAACACACACCACTACCAGCGGACTAGCCATAACTATGTGGCCCAAGGGCTATACGAACAGAGATAGGCACAGCCCTATTTACACCGAAAGGTGTGCGAATTTTTTTGCAATAGTATAAAGGAAGAAGGATAAGTTCTTCAGTTGGTGCGCGTACGTGACAAAAGGCACACCATTCAAGAACCTATACACCGGAGGGCATTAAATTTGTTCTATTGCAAATTAGTTCACTCTGCGCGCGGCGCGGCACGCCCGTGAGTTGATGGCTTTTTCCCTGGCCCTGACAAGATCGGCGGAGCGAATCGGGATCCTGCCACCGCGCCGATCTCCCGACTTTTGTTCTCTTGATAAGGGGGCGACTCTTCCGCCCGTGTTTCAATCTGGCCGCGTCATTTGTTTCCAGCCGCCGCACAAAGGCCCTCAGTGGCCGTGACAAACGCGCCCGAACACGATACAACGGCTAATTCTACAACGCAACGCCTGTTGAGAACGGGGCTCGCAGATAAGCTCTTATTACCACAATTTCATGCCTTTATCTGCGGCGATATTTCATTTTACGAAAAGGGAAGCTTTATCACGCCAAGACGCAAACCCCTTGACCCTCCGCATTCAGCCAAAGTGCCCTAACGCCGCG